GATTAATGTAGTAAAATATATTCTTGGAGTACAAGAATTGCTCAAAATTACTTTCCTACATCCTGTTCTGACACAACTGGTCATTTTCGGAGTTTTCATTTTTCTTTTGGTTTCTCCTATTGCTCTTAATATAATTTATTATTTTTACTTTCTCTCCTTGCACGCTTTATGAATTATTTAATAGTGCAACATAACACGTTCTATCAGTTTGCACTTCCAACTATAAATTTTATCCGTTAAATAAACTTTGAAATATAGTGTTATGCATGATTATATATATATTAATATATAATTTATATTCTAGCTAACCCACTGCCTCCACAACTTGTTACCTTCACAGCAGCACGCATAGAACGCGTTATGACGTTGACTCGTGAAGCGAGCTTAAAAATGCTAGGGAGCAGGATCTTCAAGGGTGCGAGAAAGGTTTGAACCCTTGACACAATAAAATCACACAGATTGCACACAACGAGCGTATATTTACCCATAAACTTTTAGTGGCATCAGTTGATTCAAAATCAAGAAATAGAATCACACTTTTTACAAAGAATGATCAAAACACAAATAGAACCTTTACAACAGCACACTCATATGAATGAACAATATAATTTATTCAAAATTGATACTCTCGAAATAATTACCATAATCTATACACTGGAATTCCCTTGGAAAATTAATTATATCTAAATTTGTGCTATCCTAATTACATTGCACATGAACCCAAAATTTCAAATTTACAATCTCCTGCTTCAAATATTACCTGCAAAGAAACAGATGTGTGAAGTGCACTACTCTCATTTACATTTAAACTGTGGTCTGAAAATAGCGAAATAATAAATGTCCTAAGTAGAATGTTTTTAGGCAGGCAATAGCGCATCAAACGTCTCCTACTATAATACCTGTAATTTGTTGCCACCCGTTGTCCTCAAATTGTTAACACTTTCCTATACTAATTTTTCCCTGCCGACGTGAACGTGACATATTTCGCGTGCCAAAACATTGCTTCGCCGCCCATATTGGAGCCATGGTTCGAAATGCTCAATATACGGAGATCGATGGGGGGTAATGTCTAAAGCGTCACGAGGTTCGGCGCATTCGGTCTGTGTTTGCCTTGCTTGCTGTACCTGCTCCACGTGCGTTATGAATGATTTTAAGAAGAATGCGTGAAATTCGTGATCGTGTAAACAGAGAAGATTACTGCATCCTCGCATGCATAGCTGCGGGATCGAGTAATCTTTTGGAAATACAATGATCACGAATTTTCGTCGCAGATTTCGATTTTCGAAGGAAACTGTGATGTATCTCGCAAGAGAATTGCGCGAAAACCTCGTGAAAGACAGGCGCGGTTCAGGACTTTCTGTACACCTGCAATTACTAATTGTACTTAGGTGAGTTATAGTTTAATTTATGTATTAATAATATTTTTATTTGAGTTGTTTTGCGAACTGAAAAACAATGTTTTTCACAAACAAACAGATTTTTTGCCCACCAATGCCTTCAACATTGTCCTGGCGATTCTTGTGAATGTACACGAGAGCAAGGTGGTCGCCTCATTAAATCTGTTTCGGGAGGCAATTTGCCTGCGTCTTGAAAAGTAGATATGTGTACTTTCCACCCAGGCGGGAACACGTACGAATAAAAGCAGGATTTGCACAATTATCCAGTAAGTTGTGATCATGAAACTTTTAAACATATTTTTACGGTCAGTTAACCCACAAATATATATTCACAATGATTTTTCCATGGCTCACTTAAATTGTTTATTTGCAATTTTCCTGTCAAACATTGCAAATGTAATAAACATTTAGTAGTGTGCAATGAAATTATTCCATAGGCTTTGATGTACTGTTCATGTAAATCATTAGAAATTATGCAATATTAAAAATGTAGCTTTCAGTAATTTCGCAATACTAACAAAAGTCATTCAATTCATCAATTTTCATTATAAATATTAACTGTAAGTCAGCAAATAAAAATACATTTTTATATTGAGCTTAAAATTTAAAGTTCTTTATAAGAAAACATCGCGTTCACTGGATACTTTTCATTTCTTCTGTGCTTTGCAATGTAATAACACAAATTCACATTTGTGTTTGAAACAAGATATTAAACCCAAATTGTTACCTTGGCAGAGACAACTTTCCAGGTATTTATCGGTGCATTTGATTGCACACATAAAAATTGTATGCCTGCTAGAGAGTTAGCAGAAAGATTCTACCAATCGTAAATGTTGTTATTCATTAACTGCCAGGTATGATAGTTTAACAGCCATTTTTATAATTCTTTTCAAATTAGTTAGTATGCTTCAAAATAATGCATTAATTTTCATGGTGGAGTTAATTTCACTCAATCGTCTTCGCGAAAGTTAATGGTTATTAATAAGCTACATTCTACTGCAATTTTTCTCAAATATAGTAATTATCTATTTTCGTAATGCTCTTGGATAAGGTCATAACCGAGGAGAGTCATCTAATTATATGGTAATGGCAGAAATGAAATAAAATAAATTAGTAAATAAATAAATAATTGCCTTCATTGTACAGTTTATATTAAACAATATTCAATACAGACTTCAATATTTTATTTTTTTTTTGCCTTTTCATGGCGTTTTGTATATTTTCATTTAGTTTGTATTTTCTGTTTTTCATCTATTACATATTTGTATATTAAAAAACGTACACACATTTTAAAAATAAGTTCTTCGGATAAATGCACTTAACAAATAGTGTATCATCAGGTGATTTGGAATCAGAGCAAAACCTTCTCTCCAAATTATTTAAATGGCCATTTGTTTTCTAGAAATGTATACAAATATTCATGAACATTCTTTAAAAATATTACATTAAATAACAAATCATAATAAATCATTACATTACATAACAAAAAAAATATTTTCCTTATAGTGATATGTAAATACAGTAGGCTACAAATTTCATACAAATAATCGTGAATGACACTTTAAATTAAATGCTAACCTCTATATTGCGAAACATCTTTGTATTCCACCAAGACCAGCAAATCGAAATGGAGGAAACTCGAAACCGTTGTGATTGTGTGCGCTAAAACAAAATATCTTGAAACACAAAACACAGACATGAACGCACAGAACAATAAATTAACTGATGGATGTAACCAACGGCAATATGATTCACTTTTCCGCCATGTGGAAAATGCAGGCAGGCTGGATGTGACGTACGAAAACAATCGAAAACCACTTACCAATCATTGCTCGATATTTTTTTAACTAGCGCTCCAAGTGGCGTGGCAGTGTGTTGCCAATTTCCCTATCTCACCTTCACCTCAGTGGGTGCAACCCTAAACCAACCTTTGAAAATTTGTGCACGGGATGTTGGTAGCAGACACAGGACTGGGTTTTACGTCGTTGGTAATTGTTTTCGATGATCGTTTGTTCACTTTTGTTTCTTCAATAAGGAAGTTTACGCGACGTAATTCGCAATTGTAGTAGTGGTTGTGTGTTTTGTGGCTAAAAACACGAGGGCTTGTGTATTGTGAAGATAATACCCTTTAAGTCCTGTATGTATATTATTTATTTTTCAATTAATTAATTCTAGTTGCGAGCACTGATAACAAACTCGTGTCCCGCAAGTGAGCTGTAGTAATACCACTAGGTTATGTCCACATGCTACTGGAAACATTTAATTCGTGATATAAAACTGTTGTGCGTATTTATGCATGAATCCGCCAATATATTATTATTTGAGTAGTTTTTATGCTGAAGTGTGTGTATCATTGCTCTGCAGCTTTGAAAAGGGTGTTTTGTGCGTAGAAGTTCACTGATTACAAATATATTCTTTTTACAATTGTAGGTTACAATGGTGCGTTACGCACGTGCGAAGGGATCAAAGGCTTCGAATGAAAAACTTCCAGAAGATGCTACACCATGGCAAGTAATGAAAAAGCAGATGACTGATGCTCAGCAACCTAAGGTTGAACCCATACGAAATGTTAACGAATTTTTGAAAAAAAAGAGTACTGATGAAACAAGCGCTGATACAACATGGGCAGTGTTTGAAGAGACAAAACAAAAAAAACAACATAAAGACAAAAAGAGGCAACTTCCCACTGAAGCTGAGCCAGTGTTGAAAAAGAAGAAAAAGCAAAAACAGAAAGGTTTGTCTGAAAATGATACAAGTTTAGGTGATGTAGACGGCAAGTCTTCTATGCCGCAACATAAAAAGATCAAGAAAGAGAAATCTGAATGGATGACAACAGCAGTGGAAGAGTTTTCAGAGGTCCAAAAGTCTCCCAAAGGACCAAAATTGGATTCTCCTATATGTGAATTTGGAAAGAAACCTAGTAGAGAAGGAAAATTTGAAAGGAATAAGAATTTTAGGAAATTTGGTAAAAAGGGTATTGATGGGAAGCCTAGTTTTAAGTCTCGAAAGAACAAACAGTCTCAAGATCATCCAAGAAGAAAACCTAAGAAAGAAACTTTCACTATTAAATTAGGTCATAAGGAAGTGGAACTTCGCTATTATGATGGGTTTCCTATCAGAGTAGAAGATTGGGAGCGTCTTACTGAGCTTGAGCAGAAGTTGAGACAAGAAAATGTTCCAGAGGAACAAATTCGGGTAATTGTTTCTAATTTTAATTATAAGTTATATATCCTATTGTTTGTTTTCAAGCCCATGCACTTTCGTTGCTCACGGAAGGGATTGGTGTAGTAATAATGAAAAGTGTTAACGTTAAATCATGGAGAAAAGTAATGCCAGTGGTATCCATAGTTTAAAGCAGGATACATTTTCATGAAAGTTTTTTGAAGCTGAAATAGAACTATTACTCTTTGACTGTTATATTTGAAAACCTTGGGACATTAACGAGCTATGCTACATTTCTGATTAAATTGAAGTATTATTGTTTCTCGTTGCACCATAGATGTATCTAGATGTTGGGTTTTTATTTTAAAGATTTGCCACAAAATGGCATTGTAATTCATCAATTAATGTTTTTTTTTATCTCAATTTGTAGAATAATGTCTAAACCGTTCTTTGTTCTCAAATCTTACATATTGTGGCATAGTATATTATTGGTTAGAGGTCTTCAGTTATTTCTTTATGTCGTTAATGAACAAGACTTTGTATTTCTATCTTTAACCCTGTGCAATACTCTGTCCCATGTGGCAGAACACAGCACATTCCTCATTGCAAACCTTTTAAATCCCCAGGTACCTGGTTGAACTGGTCCAGTGCACCGTGTCATAAGAAACTGTACTCTGATTTCAAACAGTTTTTGTATTGTTACAAAAGAACATTTTAATTTATTTGCCTAATTCATAATTCATAACTAAATAATTTAATGTTTGATGTGGAGAGCTTCACCCAATTACCAATAATGTCTGTAGATTGTATCAACAGTCGGAGTTACCTTTTCTGTCACTCTTCATTCTCATCCCAGAGAGAAAGTTTTCAAATTCTTAGTTTTCTGAAGATTATTCACTCTTAGAATAATAGTTTACTGATTCACTCACTTCAGGCTGTGACAATCTCATAAGTACAACCGTAGCCTCAAAAACAAACTAATATCAAACAATAAAAAATGGGAAAAATCTTGCTACAATGAAAGAAATTACTGCCTAATCTCTCTTGAAGAAAGTTGTATTTTTAGAGCGATTTTTATAAGAATGAGCCAAAGTGACAGTTTGCTAAACAAGGTGAAATCACGAGTAATTCAGAGAAGTATCCCTCTGCCTCAGCAGCTGTTCAGCTATGCCTCTTCATAAAAGGTTTGTTTATAGTTCGTGTGAAAACATGCAGAAGTCTAAAAGTTTTGCTGAGTTATATGCACATACGCGAGTCTGCAAAATATTAAAATTTAATTACCTAAATGGGAAAATATCTCATGGCGCACTATATTTCCGTTGGACAAGGCAATCTCTAAAGGAAGCGTCAACGCCATTTACAAGTTAGCCTACTGCAAACTAAAGAATGGAGAAAGGAGAGACTAATTGGCTCAAGGACACAACAACCACAGATTCGTCAGTTGTGTTATCAGCACTAGCTGTCAAAATGGTCCATTGTTATAAAAATCCCTCTATACTGGTAACCAGTGTCATCTAGTGAAATAACAGTTAAAAATATGTCCACCCCACAAGACAAAGGACCATCAGAAAGAAGGAAAGTCCTGTGAAGTCTGTAAACCCCTACAAGGGCATTGAGCACTTCGCATTAGGAGTAGCCCTCCGTTATAAAGATTTGTTTAAATTTGTCTGTCCAGTCTCATTGTAGTCAGTTGTCAAGAGGACCCCTAGGTACCATCTCCGTGTATATGCCTCCTTCCACGTGCTGCTGCGTCATTACTCAATGGCCAGAATGGTGAAGGAATTGGGACGGGTAGGGTTCAGGACGCTTTACAGGGGTTGGACTAGCCCTTGGGAATTAGGCAAACTCATTTTGCATGAAATTCGACAGGAATCAAACCCGGATCTCTAGTGAAAGGCAAGCAACTTCGCTCTGCGTCATGAGATACTGAGATCATTTATTTTTACTTCTTGTAAGTGTGTGGAGAAGGGGATTGTCACAAGAGAACTGTAATTATTTAAGGGTGGTTCAGGCTCATGTTATGGCTATGTTACAGTAGGGAGAGAGGGTATTCAAAATTCTCCAAATTTGTTTTGTAATTTATGGACAACTTCTTTGCTCTCACTTTGGATCCAAGAAATTTTACAGTAAAAGTTCCTTTACTATGTAGTCCTGCTTATGCCATTTAAAGAGGTTTTGGATTAATGCCGAAGTAGATTTTTGTAGAATAGCATATTTTGAGATCCTTTTTTGGGTTATTACATAAGAATGGGTTTATAATCATGTGTTATTACACATGATTTTAAAAAAAAATTGAAGCATCATTTCTGAGTTCTTATTTTTGTAAACCCAATCAAACAAATTAACAAATATTGTTAACATTTCATAAATAAATAGAGATATTGTCAGGTATCAATATTAACATTTCAATCATTATATTTTTTTAATTCTTAGAGCTTGCTAGATCACCAGCTCTCCATTTTATTGTGGTTATTAAAATGTGTCCTAATTCTTTGCTTTCTTAGCTTGTGATTCGGGGCTGTAGAAACAATATATTCCCATCATATATTCCAATTTTTAATGAAGTTTGATTCATTCCTTTTTGTCACATTTTGCTGAAATTAAATTTTTGCTCTCAAAATGTTCTTAATCTTGTTATTCTTATAAAATAATATTGGATTGATTGATTAGTGATTCCAGCACTGCCAGCCGAGGTTAGTCCCGTAAGTGTAGTGCATTTTTTATCCCTGGGTGATCTTTGCAGTATGGCAAGATCTGGCACCAATGCACATAGGCTTCCAGGAATTTTCGCTACCCTGGTATCACCTGACATCTGGGACTTAGTGTAATGCATGTATTGTGCAAGTAGGGAGGATAGAACAAAGATGTGGTAGGAAACATCACACAGCCTGTGGCCTGATCGTTAGGGCACTGCACTGGCATTCGTCAGGTGGTATAGAAACATTGGGAAAGTCCCGGGTGGAGTAGCCGGCCTCTAGAATTCTCTCCATTCAGCAGCTGACTTTGACCTAGCTATCTAGCAAGGGCTGAAAATCCTGCCACGCTTGTGACTCAAACCCAGGACCTCCTGGTCAGAGGCCACGTGGTAACATCAATTGATGCCCTGAGCCACCTTTACCTGTGATATTGGAAATTTATGGAGTATATAATTACATTCTAATAATCTTGAAAACCCAGGATCATTCAATTTGACAACTTTCTTGCAACTCTGTGCTGGTGTAAGACACTCTTCACTGTATTATTCCAATTTTTTATTTCCAGGGCACAAAAATGTTCGTAAGGTTGCTTGCTCCATTGTGTCAGTTCTGGAATCTAGAAGAAGTAACAGTATTGAGTGAGTACTCTAAGAAAGGACCACTTTGATAGCTACAGCTGCAATCATAGCTGTAGGTTATGGCCATGTGCTCAATTTGGTAATGCGCTCATTTGCATTTGGCTTACTTGTAAATGGCTTTGAGACTAACTCTTAACTGTTGCAATGACATGGTTGCACATGACTTTCATTTGTTTCCCAAACTAGTCCCTTCTTAGAGTGCCTTTTTGTTATCTTGTGCCTTGTGTTGTGAAGATATTTGTTGGGGGCAAATTCTTCACAACAGTTATAATTTCATGAATTAGTGATGGGCTCCTTGTTGCAGGCTACTATGAAACTGCAGCGCCGACGAGCGGAAAAGTCATTGACATACGAACGGAAAAAGGTCTGTTTCGTTTGCCGAGAACCTGGCCATTTGTTGTCTGAATGCCCTTCAGTTGGACAAGCTCCGTTTGGAAAGAAAAAAGAGAGCGATCTACCTGACTCCAAAACTGCAGGGATGTGCTATAAATGTGGCAGCCTGGAACACACACATTTTGAATGTAAAGTTGTCGAGGGAGCTACTTACAAGTGAGTTTCCTATTCAGATTTGTTTATTTTTATAGCGCTTGTCAGAAGGTTTGGTCTGTGTCACTCATGAGAGAGAGAGTGTGCACGAGCAAGCAAGGAGTGTGCGTGTGTGTATACACACACACTTTCAGATGCAAAGTGAGTGGTGTGGTCACAAAATTAATTTGCATTATCTTCACAATCATTGGCTGATTTGTCCTGGAGCTAGTGTGCGCTCGATAATTTTTTGTTGTTCTGGCAATGGAAAATGTTCCTATGAAATCAATGTATTTATGTGGATAGAATACACAAAAAGTACACTTTTAAACTTCTTTTTAAAAAATCTAGTGTTATCCATAATTCTTTAATGAAGTTGTCTACTGCAGGTTTAAGTAAAACCATGATGAAAGTATACAATGAAGGAGTTTTGAAATTTGGCATTTATGACATGTCCTTTTACATGTTTGATGACTTAATTAATGCTCATACATATTCTCATCTACTTTTCAACAGGATTTGTTTCAATTCTTATAGTATTATTTTTAGTGGTGGTATCAGATTAATGTAAATCACTCATAAAACTATCCCTAGTCTGTAAATGTACACACTGATTTGTTGGAACTACACTTCAAGTAACTGCTAGGTATTGACCATAAATGATTGTTAATTCTTTTTAGAAGATACCAATATGAGAGAATGTAGATTTTGAAAGATGTTAAATACTGGGTATTGACGGACTTGGAAAGATCAGATAATTTAAATTCCAGGAAAGGGAAGGAAAAATTTAAATATTAGGGCCTGGATGTTTAAGACCTAAGAATGTTAGAAATATGCAAGCATTTATGACCTATGAAAATGTGACTTTAAACAAATTTTGGTTGCTGTTTCGAAACCTAAAATCTTACCGCTGTTTAAATAACCATTATATTGAAAGTATACATTTAAAATCTAGCACATTCAATAATAATAAATAAGTGCCTAATAATACTAACTTTTATTATTTTATTTTGAAATAATTTAAGTTCTCAGTTTAGAGGTGACTGTCAACTCTGTGCAGAATGAAATGGAATTCACATTTTGAAGTGTGATTAGGAAGAATTACAATATCAAATGATGTATACAGTTTTCAAATAGAAACAATCACTCATCATTGCCTTGTACCAGGAAAAGGTCTGTTCAACATAGTAGGATGTTATGAGGGCATTTTTGAAATAGGTAAAGTCATAAATTCTATTGATGTTCTCATTCGTGGAATGTTGCTGGCTTGCCACTTTGAATTCCCTAATGATATAGGGAGTAGAGGACCCTTCATTTGGACCCAGCTCACATTGAGGTTTTGCATTTACACATTCACCATGAACAGTCTTTACCTCACCTTCAACATTTTTACCAGTTACAGGGCATCAGAGAAATGAGCACCAGTTTCTTCTAATTGTATGATTGTTGTTGAAATTCAACTTGATATAAGCAAGGTCTCCTATCAGAAAATAGCAACTAAGCAGTTGTAATGGAGGCAAATTCACCTTTATTGAATGCATTTATATCGCCTTTTCCGATCATGTGAGAATGTTTTGGAAGGCGAAGACACTGATAGGACCATTTCCTTTTGCACTCGTAATGAACTCTGATGAAGATTTTCTTCCCTGCAGAAATTAACTTATCTACATGAGGATAATATCCATAAATTTCTTCCTCAACTCTATTTAATGTGTGTGCAATGCATGTTACACGTATCAGTTTAGGGTAGAGTGCCTGCAGGCCCTTGCAAGCTTTCACTGTGTAAGGGCTGTGTAAGGGGCTGCTTCAGTGGCTAGAAGTGCAGCGTTCTCCCCATTCACTCCTTCAGGTCACCAGATTCATTGCGTTAATGAATGTTAGTTCTGTCCAATGCACAGGAAATGAATTGATTTATCTTACACTCGGTCTCCCCTTAAAACACCAATTGCATGCATCTCCCCTCAGCCTTGTTTTTTGATTCCTAGAAACCCAGTTCTTATTAGCAAGGCAGCATTGTATTATATTTAAAGTATTTTCATAACAGAGTCGTGCAGCTCTTGCAAAGGTTGTTGCATTCGGAATGTGCTGACTTGTGATCTTTTTAAAAAAAATTGCTGTAGTGGTAAGAATTAACTTTCTCTAAAGGTATATCAAAAGACAACATAAATCCTTGTTAAATCAGAAGTTTTGCTTGTCATAGGCAGAGACTCTGAAATTCTCTGAAACAGGATCTGTTGACGATTCTATGACGTAACATTTCGTGTCATTGTTTTTTGTATTTTTTCCTTTAGTTGACTAAAAATGCTCAATTCCATGGTAAATCATTGATTATCTGTAAATAGCATGTATGTGCAATTAAAATTCCTCTGTGTAATAAAAACTTCACACCTACCAGTCGGAATACAGAAAAGAAGACAAATCATTTAATGAAGGAACTATAACACAGACGTAGCCCAGGTATTTCCAGTCCGCCATGCAACATGAACAAAAATTTAATCAGCAAAACATTCCTACAACTACATTAAAGTGAATAAAACTAAATTGGAGAAGTTATCGTAAACCTAGCCGACTTATGAAACAACATAAAATATTTAACATTAATAAATTAAATGTTTTACATCCTACAATTTACAATTTAGGATTACAAATGGAAACTTGTGGTAGTTTAGAATGGCACAGACTTTCCCGTATTGATTTTCTATTTCCTATGGTGTTGGCTAGCTATTCAAACTTTTTTTTTTTTACTAGGGTGTCCGGGTGACGCCGCGTCCATGGCGAAGGTGCCGACGTTTCGGTCGCCATTGCATTACGACCTGAAGGTCGCAGAAATGGCGACCGAAACGTCGGCACTTCGCCTGGACGCGGCGTCGCCCGGACACCCTAGTAAATACTGACTCCGGCCGCGGAAGCCTACGCTCTCACTATTCAAACTTGTCACTGCCACATGGTCTTGTCGCTGCCCCAAGTACATTTTTTTGGAATTTTCTTTATTTTTCGATTTCCTAATAGTAGAATGTAAATATTATTTTAAGAATATTAAAAGAACAGTAAAACCTCAGCAATTTTCTATTAAAAATTTGAAGTCGTAAAAAAAATCCTGGCATTTAAATACCACCGTAAATTGAAGATTTGAAGCTCATTTTCACAAAAAAAATTTCGAAGAACTTAATTTGAAGTAATTTTAAGTACTTTAAATCACAAATATAATGTTTACAACTTGCTGAAAATGGACATTTCAAAAAAATTTCACTTGTGTAATTTTTGAAAAATACAAAATATGCACCGAAATGAACTTTCATGCATTGAAATGTTTGAAGAAAAATTGAAGCCCTCAACTCGAAACAGATCGACGGGTTTCTTCAATTGACATTCAAAGTGACTTTTTTCCCTCCCAATAAATACATGAGTACATAAGAGTATGCATTACATTTGGTCTCATACCTGTCTTTACTTATCATTGGCAGTAATGTTCAGTAGCTTCCATATGCAAATATTTGTGCAAACACACAGTGCAAGGCCCATTAAAATAGACACTTTTCAGAAGCTGTATGTCATCATATGGTGCTTCAGATGGTAAAGATGTGCTTGACTTTTTCAAAATTTAAATTATTCGTAGATAGAAACGAAAAAAATATTTATTGTAACATGTGTATGAAGAGTACAATTGCCCTTGTGCTCCTATTGTTGCTCGTTTTCTTGAACATAACACTTGTGCAATTATACCCCTCTTTATACACTTGTTTAGTTAATTACTATTGTATTTCAGTCTTGTTCAACATTAAACTGCTTTTTAGCTTTTCAACATGAAACTGCCACACATATTTTTGTTAATTTTCACTTAAATTAGGCAACCTTTAGATTTAGGCATAATGAATTGAGAGGATTTGTGATCAAACACAAACTCAGCGAAATCTATTCAGTATCTGATCCCTCTAAATCTTTGTATTGCCTCTTCTGCATTGGTGCCCCATGAAGACAATTCTATCTGCTAATAATATTTATAAGCAGTTGGCAGCCTGACAAAACATAACTAATGCTCCATCACATCTGGTGCTTTCTATGCAGCTGTCTTTCTATACAGGTTACCCTCCTAATTTACATGAATATATATGTATATATTAATAAGAAAGATAACAATTATTCAATAATCATAAGAAATTACATATAACAATTGGGAGCAAAAAATATTGGACACAACTGCAAGCAAGGTTGAATTTCATGGAAAAATATGACCATAACATGAAATATTGACAAAAAGGATTTAAAAAATCCAAAATATGACATGTCAAACTTTCATAATTTTAGTCATTGTTGATAAAATCATGCTTAACTTACATTTCCCATGGAAATAACAAAGAAAAAAAATGATGTGTGATGTGTCGTAAATATGGGGGCCTAATAATTATTTTTATTCTAGTATAAGGAATATGTGTTGTCTAACATATACATTTGCTATACTGGTGTTGCTGTGCAGTTCAGTAGAACACTTCTTATTGTTATGTCTTATTGTCTTACTGTAGCCTAACATCGTAATTAGTTATTGCCACAGAGTGAAGTGTGATTGTAAGCCTGATGAATCCACAACAATAATTTTTCATTACAAATACATTTATTTTAATCAAATGAATTGCTTGCATGAAGGAAATAGTAATTTTTAAATGAGAATCTATACAAATGTTTTCTATAGATCTATCTACAAATCTATCTAAATGAATGGCTATATTCTGGATGTCTTTCTGTGTTGCAGGTTTGCCAAATGTTTTATATGCGGTGAACAAGGCCACATTTCACGACAGTGCCCTGACAACCCTCGAGGCCTTTATCCTAAGGGTGGTGGATGCAGTGAATGTGGAGAGGTAACACACTTCAGGAGGGATTGCCCAACCCATTTGAAAGAGAAACAAGAAAGTGCACTTACAGTGCCAACTTTGAAACAAGAGGATGCTTTAGAGGCACTGGATGTGGGTAGTGACAATACCCAACAAATTCCAAAGACACCAAAGAAATCTAAAAAGAAAATTGTTAAATTCTGAAGATTTGGGAGAAAAGTTGAAATCAAAAGGGAGTGATGGGGTAAAAGAAAGCTGTGCTTTTGAATCTAGCAAAGCAGTTTTGTTGGACGTTTGAAAAGTTACTTGCTAGAAAATAAGATAATATGATGCATTTGTACAATTTTATTAATTTTAACAGATTTTATCTCCTTATGTTGAGAAAAGTTGTTGAAATGAGCGTGTTCCTGTTCAAAGAATGGTATACGACATTTCATGCTTTGAATTCCAGCTCCCAACCTTGAGGAGTCACTATATTTAAATTGTCCAATATGGGTCTGTATTTTCTCGGTCTGCACAGTGATTCTAAAGGGTTCTGTAGGTTTTGAGTCCCAGTGGTGGCGGCTTTTTGACACTAGCTACATAACAAGGTCAAATTCAGCTGCCGTGTGAAGGAAAGGTTAAGCAGTTGGCTGCTCTGACGGTAGTGTTTTGTGGTTTCTCTCATCAATAGCTGACAAAAGTCTGAACAGTGGCAAGAAATGGGCCTCGGTCTGCACCAATCAGTCAATCAATTGATAATTTCTTGTGTAGGATAGTATAATTTGACACCACTGTTTTCAAGAAACAAGTTGTAAATGCTAGAACATTGAATAACATTGTCATTGTTGTCTGTACTTGTATTCATTTGGATTATAAGAAGAGCTACTTATTCTCCATAAAAGCCAATAATCTAATTTTGCCCGAATTGTCAGATACCATTATTTGCACTCGATCGGCTGAAATGCTAAGTGGTATGGAGGGAAAAATTCATGAAAACTGTAATAATAGAAACTGTTCGTATTGGGTAAAGTTGATATTTTGGTGTACCCAGAGTAATGAATGGATTATTGTTGTATTGTTTAATTATGATAACTTTGATTTGCTAAATGTAAATTTGGTGTAAGATAGCAATGCATTAAATTTGACTTCAAAATTACTGTGAAATTATGTTGGTGTTGTTTTTTATGGGTGACCTGTCATTAGTTTTCATGTAACTTTATTTTGATGTTTATATCTTATAATGGCCATTGCTCTTTACTGTAAAATATCTTGGTCATGTGCATAATGTATATATGTTGATGTAAGAACGTAATATCTTCACGAGTTTCAGAACCATGTGACGGGGAGAGATGTTCCCCCTTTGAAACATTTTGAAATTTTCTCTGCAGCCTTGCTTAATAAAACCATTTTATCTCCTTAAATATGTGCAATCTCCTTTTTAATCAATTTGTGCAAGAGTTTTACATATGTGAAAAAGGCTCTCCGAGCCGTCTGGGCAACATGAAATCAGTTGTATTGATTAATTGGATTATTAGTCTTTCATTTTTGTGTAGTATGGTTAATTTTACTTTTAATTATGTCATATAAATTTATTTACGTACATGAAGTAATGTATTACGACTAAAATGAAATATCTATTCTATAATAAGAATGAAATTTAAATGTTAATAAATACAGTTGAATTTAAGTTTATTGAAAAAGACGCCTCAGAAGTTCAGTTGCGATAAATAATCATTTCAAAAAGGAAAAAATCACACTGGAACCATGAATAGCCAGGCCATGAACTATGCTTTGCAACATCAATGCAGAAGAGTGTATGCTAAGCTTCTATTATCAAACAGAAAGACTTTGCAATTAAATTACACAGAATATCAAATATGTAGTCGATTTACGTGTTAATTGAGGTTTCCGTCCACTTTAATATGAAGTGTGTCCACACACAATACCTAACCCCCTCTAAAAATTTAAATGACCAAAAACATCACTCATAGTGAAAAAAATTTACTTGGGTTCCAGATGGTACTGGAAAACTGTTTTAAAGGCCTAAGATAAACTTTTTGATTGCATGATGCTTGCTGGTTACTTCACAGCATAATCTACTGTGGTCTGGAACACTCGCTTCTCAAAAAACATTGTGTTTGAGATAGTATTATGTATGAACTCTGAATTAAATGTAGTAAATAAGTCAAAAGTTGCAGAGTATTTCTAATGACATTTTGATGCTTAAAATTTCTGCCTTGGAATTTTTTTTGAAAGTGACATAAAAAAAAGGCAGGGAATAAAGAAAACAACCAGAAGAAAAAGTGACTTATTCGCAGATGACTAAGTTACAACATACACTACAGAAATCAGCCTTCACATTAAGCAAAGAATATCAGATGAAAATATCAAACCAGAAAACTAAAACCCTGGCCTTATATGGAAAAGAACATCTTGATGTCAGAATAATAATAGAAAATTCAACAATTGATCAAGCTACCACTTTTAAATACCTCGAAAATTTCATTGGATTGAATCACACAGACAATAAAAAACAAAATATACAAAAATATTTATTTATTCAATAGGATTAACCCTTAAAAAAATTTATACATAGTATAATGAAACAAAAATAATTATACAATAATATAAGAAACAAACTAAAAATTATTTTAATACATCAAGTAAAATAAAATATCTTAATTTTTAGGGGTACTTTACATGATGTCCCTGGGAAAATTTCAAGAAAATGGTTCCAAATTTTTTGATTAAATATTGTTGAATTGTTCAAAGGAGTTATAAGAGAATGGTGCAGCTTTTATTTTTGTTGACATTACGATTTTTCGAAAATTGAAAGAAAAATTAAAACTAGAAAATTGATAAGGTCCAATACAATGGTTTGCAAAAACCGTCATTGCTTCATTTGCGATTGAAATTTACAAAACAAAATTTTCTTAAAAAACCTTCTCCAACCTCTTTCCTTAAAATTTCTTCACATGTGTAATAAGGAACGGTAAGAAATACGGCGCTAATATCATTTTCGGATATTGCTCGGTTTTCTCGAAAATTTCCAAAAACCATTTCAAAACAACAAAATTGAACACACGACGTTGTTGCCTCAAAGGCTGCTGTACAAAATAAGCTCATTAAAAAGGTCATGTACACTTTTTTGAAAAACGAGTTTTTTTGCGTAATTTATGATTTAAATTAATAAAATGTATACAGGTAATGATACGATATATAATCCCAGAAGTAATATCTAGGTGATAGATTTCGGAACTAGCGTATCCGTGCGAGAGCTCTCGCATGTTAATCCTCACCCTTTCCCTCTCCTTTCCAGAAAAGATGTTAATGAGACGTGTTTATTTGTTAAGATCTATAAATGAAATTTCAAACTTACAGAATACCAAACCAAAATAAAAACAATGCAACTGACGTAAACAAAATTTCAATAAAGGTTTATTCAGTATTACAAAGATATGTTCTTCCAACAATTCACACTTACAGACATTTGAAGTTCATTGGCAGTAAGCATTTCGCTTTCCTTCATAGTCACAAAAATATTGGAACTTTTTTTACTCTTGTAAAGTGCGAAAATACAGGATCGGGCAAGTACAACTCTAGGTACTCTGCAGTATTATTTAACTTTCCTGGATTTGTTAAGAGGAATAAAGGGAGTTTTGGAGGGACAGGGCGTCAGGTTGTTGGGGGGTGCGAAAATTCAAACATTATTTGTATACTAAAAATATTTTAATATTTTCTGCATTCTTACGTACCTCAAGAAAAGCAATTCCGAGCCAAAAAATTATAAAACGAATATTTTCACCTTTGAGTAATAAAATCTCGTAGAACCTTATGTGAAATGCGTTACGACAAAACGTGTTTGCTTCTCAGGGGCTAGTCCAAGCCCTGTGAAGCGTCCTTACCCCTCTCCTTATTCCCTCCCAATTCTGGCCGATTGGTAGATGACGCAGGGCGCGTGCGAGACGCGAGCGCGAAGACGCTTCGTATCGGCGATTCCCTGACGTGACTGCGACTGTCGTGACTTGACTACCCAGCGGTTCCTAGAGGGAGCTGGGTGATTAATAACAGAGATTAGATTACTCCAATTCAAAATTAACGGTGAATAACTCCACATGCACTTAACGATCCTTAAGGAGTTAGGAGACGTGTTGCGTCTACATAGAAGCGATGTTTACGCATTAAATGTCTTGACGAACCAACACCTTACGTTTAATATCAAACTTGGTATTATTTACAATATGACTGATTCCAGATACCCCCAACACTTAAATCGTGCGTGATCGTTGGCAGTTGTAGACGAACTTGCGCTATTCTTCCTATAATTTTAAATTTGGAGGAAAAAGCGGATAAATCCAGTTGATAAATGTAGAAAATAAATCCTCCATCACGTGATGTACCCAGAAACTATGTTTTGCATATTGCAAAAATGTTAAGGGGTAATGTGTAATATTTTCGGGCATTCATCCGGAAAACTTGAAAAATTTGCTAAAGTAAAATACTTGTTTAAAAATATCAAAAACATCTATTTGAAAACCTGTAGAAACGTATTTCATATATTACAATCCCATTAACATATATTACTAGTCATAATAACTCATGTATTTTGGTTTCTTGATAGAACCTAGGGAAATTATTAAGTTTAAAAAAATAAATGTAATGGAGGAACACCATATATTATACTTCATGACACTAATTCTATACATTTTATTTGTCAAAAAAAAAGGAGTTTGCTACACCACTTGTAACACCTAATAAGTTATTACACTTTCTAACAAAATTATATTATCTGCTATAAGTAAAAAATTAAACTTATCGCATGAAAGTAGCCATATTTTCTCTCTGAGTCAATATCTATGTTTTTTCATTGAAATCCACACGCTCTTTTAGTAATTGACCAAATCACTGCATATGAACTGGAAAAACTTAAGAATTTCTTTAGTGTGGTCGAAATGTAAACACAAAGCATTTGAATATCGTAGGTCTTACACTACTATATTGACAGTTTTCCTTTCTATCACAATAATAAGATTATGACCACTCGACACTAAAGAAGGTAACCCTAAGTTTTTTGTAGGTTATCCCTGATATACTATTATTATGATAATTATTGTAACGTTTCTCCGTGGCGAATTAAAACACATTCAATATTTAACAAAAACGTTTATTTGTAAAAAATTATACACTAAAACTACTTGATATATTACAGATATATTACACAGTCCTTGTGTTCTTCACTTGATTATTACATACGACTCTGTTCTCTAGATTATTTATTAACACAGTTCACTACTTCGGATTATTTATTTACACTGTTCTCTGCAATCTACACTATCGCATAGTCCTATGCACTGTCCATGGTCCACTGCGCTGAGCACCATTCACTGCGCAGACCACGATTCACAGCGCAGACCACAATTTACAGCGCAGACCACAATTCACTGCGCAGACCACAATTCACTGCGCAGGCGAGGGTCCACTGCACTGCCGTTTACCGCGATGTACACTTCACAGCTCAGCTTCCACTGCAGACTGAGTGCTGACTGCTGTTTACCCACTACACCACTGTTTACCGCAATGCACACTTCACAGCTCAGTTTCCATTTCAGACAGACTACTGCATACTCACACTGAGGGACTGACTGCTTACTCGCTGATTACATACACTGACTGACTCGCGGCTGCTTACTTCCGACTGATTGATGGCTGCCGACAGCGGCGCATTTATACCTGGCCGCCGTCTCGACACACCCGGCACTTGCTCCACCTTTCCACGTGACTCGCGAATAGCCCGGAACAGTCCAGTTCGGGGGGAAGTGGGGACCCCGGCAGGTGATGCAATATTCGTTACAATATATAATAATTATTATTATAAACATATTAAATTTAGCTGCATTAAAAATGTGTGTGATTATCTTTAAACATGATTATGTTAAGATTATTTCATGAGTTAACTCTTTGCGGGCTACCAATTCATTAATGACGATATGGAAGGTGTTTACCATTAAACATGGTTACGTTTGGTAATTGCTAGAGGGGTGTCACTTAATAGGTGGGAAAGCGTCCTTATTTCAGAGTAGTGGTGGTGGTGGGATCAAAGAGTGGTAAGGGAGACCTAGAGAATTGAGGGTATGTCCGCCATTATCGCTCATTCCGGTAAGCAGCGCCGCACTTTTGAGAACTAATTTAAAAATAATAGAAAGTGTGAGCGAATTAACAAAATTTCCCCCAAAATTGGTTTTTCTTCGTTATAAGTTCAGCAAAGTATAGTTATACAACAGTCTCTCCAGTTTCTTACGGCGGTGTTCGCTTTTGCTGCACTTTTGCTCACGAGATGATTAAGTAATTTTCAAGAAAAAATGCCGAAACATAGACGTTGTTGGGTTCTCAAGTGCCAAAATAGCCGAAGTGGAGATGGCGGTAAAGACAAGGCTCTGTTCTTTTCCTAGTGTTTCAGGAAGGTAAGTGAAATTAAATATTTGGCATGATTCGTTTCGAATGGTTTCAAATCATTAGGATAATGAATA